TACTTTCTGAATGATTAACAGAAATTAACACATACATAATATCATTCTCGTCATCACAATGACCAATATTTTTCTAACACAATTAAAAGTGACATCATTTCTATTACAGTAAAAGGGTTAACTGGCTTTTAATTTTGCTTATATCGCTGACTGGAAAATGCACTAAATTAAAACCCAGTGAATATGTAAAAATTGAGCGTAGAACACATTATCTAAATTATAAAACCGTGAATTTAAAACCCACTGAGTATGCCTGAAATTTGAACCCAGTAAAAAGTTAGTCGATTTACAGTATTTGGAGAGTTGTTAACTGAACGACTACTGTAGAATACTTTATTTTCACTTGGAATTTATTTTCGTTATTTTCACTGAAGAGATAATTCCATGAAAATAAAATCCAGCGAATATACTTTTTTTCCTATATATCACATTAAACTCATCAAAAAACAGTGAAAATAAATTCCATACAAAATGCCCAAAAAGCCTTTTCAGCGAAAATTAATTCCAGCGAAAATAAAGTATTCCGTAGTATTATGTAATCACAGCATTTTCAAACATAAACGTATATATTTGTATCCTAATACTGTTAAAATATTTCTAATTTATGTTTCTAGTATATTTTATTTGGTCTAATAGAAGTACATCTCTAATAGAAGTGCATATAATCCAAAAATCACATTGGCTGTATACTAAATCCTTAAAATATTACTAATTTTAATCATAGAAATAAGCGCACACACTATTACATCATTAACACAAACGTGTATCACATGCCTACCATCACCTATTAACACAATAATTTGACACTGCATTCATCATTCATCTAATTCCTAGTATGATTTATCACATCAACATCACAATACAGTACTACAAAATTTTTCATAACTTTTGACAGAAAAAATATTTTAAGTTGGGAACCATAACATAAAGTTAGTACACAATTTGATAATACTAAATTCAAAAGTGATTATCTCACCTAAATCGGTATCGCCACTTTCAATAGCTTTATTCAAAGCTACAGTGTCTCTATTCATCCTCATCAGTAAAGGTACTTGTTCAGCTGCCTTGGGTTCAAAATCCAACAACTTGGAAAAGAAGAAAAACATGAATAATCAAAGGAAAGAAAATCGGAAATGATAATAAAACAAGAAAGTAACAATAGCAGTACAGTAGGTTTAAAAAAAAACTTTTAGCCAAACTGGTCGTAAAGTCACTTTCTGTTTCAGGCCATCATATATGAGTAATACAGCAGGGGGGGCATTGCATGACCTTTGGCAGAAAAAAAATTGTCTAATTTGCATAAATTAATATTCACGAGCAATGAAAACCTTTCAGTTATTATAATAAATTGTGCAGTTATCTTTCAGATAGCAAACATGGTAGTTCTTATGACTGATTCTATTGTTACAAGCTGAACAAATATTTGAAAAACTGATGTATAAAGGACATGTCTTTGATCCAGCAAATTGTTTTTTTCGTTAACTTGTATGAGATCATAAAAAGCTATGATATTCATGGTAATGCATAGGTAAGTTAATATTTCACTATTGCTCAAAATTGCGCATAAAGTTTTTTTGATAAGTTTTACCTGTGACAAGTTAACTAATTAGTATGCATTCTACAAAA